TTCCTTCCTTCCTTCCTTCCTTCCTTCCTTCCTTCCTTCCTCCCTACCTCCCTCTCTCCCTCCCTATCTTTCATCTTTCTGTATTTTTTTTTGTTAAACCTTATCATTGGCTCCTCGTCAACATCACCTGAGACATATGCCATCACAATAAGACAGCATCACCTGGCAGGGTTGGGGAAAATTTGGATTGCTGTTCTGGCCTGATGGAGTCAGTGGGTTCAGTCTCACTGCTCTCCTGCTTTAAAGAATAATAATCTAAACAGAACCTCATAGTAATACCATAATGTATTAATACATTTACTGAGACATAAGCCTTCTGCTTGGAGCACATACTACCTGGCCTCCTCTGCTGGGGCCACTAGCCCTCTCGCAGAGCTGGTCTTTGAGCTGAGCAAGGTAAGGCACACAGGAAGCTTTCCCAGAAATGAGCTTTGAGAAGAAGCGGCCCTGATCCCAGTTGGTGCTCAAGGCAGCTTTCTCAGTGGGTGACCTGAGATTCAATCCAGGATGCCACAGGCCACTCCCTTCCGCCTCCCTCAACAGGCCTAGCTTGTGTTGCCAGAGATTTAACCCAATTCCCCCTTTCAGTGTGCTCACCATTTATTGGGTCTTTACCATCAGAGCAGAAGATTAAAGAACCTAAGAGCATGGGTTCACACTCAGAGCCTATAGTCAGCCTCAACTCTCAGTGCCTCAGTTTCCCCACTGTTGAAGGTGGTGGCCACTGGCTACCCCACTGCGGTTGTGCAGACCACACAGCAGTAGAATCAGGCTCAGCATGTAGCAGGACCTGGCTGCACAATGCTGGAGCTCCCCAAACAGAGAGATAGAGAGGCAAGAGCACACACACACACACACACACACACACACACACACACATCTCCAAATACACACAGTTCAATATTGCAACTTAGAAAAATCAGATAGTTCTTAAACCAAAAAACTTCTTTGGAATTTAATTATTTTGAAGGATAGGTCCCCTGTGGCTCACTTATTCCATGATGCTGGAGTAGGGGAAAAAGTTAATAGCTTTCTAATTGTATCAATTTCCCATTTAAAAAAATCTGTTTCTCACTTATTAGTCTGCCAAGGGATTATCAGGCTAGTTGCTTTTTGCTCTTAATTCATAGAGCAGAAATAAATTAGTGCAGATGTGTGAGATCTTACTCCCTCAAATTACCACTTCCTAATTTGAAGCGATTAAACTCATTTGTTTATATGGAAGTTATTAATAAACCCATTTATCAAAAATTTGACTCTCTTAAGGTACAATGGTCAGTCGTCCTCATGAAATAACCTAAGGAGTTCCTACCCCACGTCTTACGACTGACCGACTTGGTCAGGCAAGCTCACGATAAGAGACAGTGGCCACAGAGAGCTCCAAGCTGAAATTCCTGACAGTTTGTCTTTGAATTTAGCAAATCCATGTTTTCAAACAACGGGAGTGTTGACCAACACCCCTCCATGAGCACATCCCTAACACCCTTAATTCTTGCTAATGAAATGGTCACCTGCTCCTTCCTTTGCATCCCAGTCCTATTCATTGGATGTCCAATGGATCTGGATACAAACATCTTGATGGGTTCACATGACACAGAAAAGGGTCACCATGAACCCACACACCCACTGCACAGTGAGTTTGGAGGTGACAATTGACCTCAGCTGGAACGGGCAAAGGGATGGCTCTGGGTGTGGACACAGATATGGACATGTGTGTTATCTCTCTGTTACAGTGGCCCAAACACCAGACAGAAGCAACTTAAAAGGAAGAAAGATTTATTTAGGCCACAGCTTCAGAGGATTCAGTTCAAGGCCCATAGCTCCATGACTCTGTCTGAGCTGACCATCATAGCAGAAGCTCCCCACTCATCGCAGCCAGAAACAGAGAAGGAGAAGGGACCAGAGACAGGACATTGTCACCAGGGGCATGCTGCCAAGGACTTGCTCCTTCATCTAGGTCCCACTCAATGGTTTAAAACGTTTTCTTCTCAATAATGCCATCAGATCAATAACCCACTGGTGAGGTCAGAGCCCTCAGGAGCCAATCACTTCCCAGAAGCCCCATCTCAGAATATGGATGCATTGGGGACCATGCCTTCAACACATGAGCCTCTGGGGGACATTCCAGATCCCAACCAAGGTAGTATGTACGTGTGTGTGCACGCGCGCGCGCATGGACACTTCAGTGTGTGGATCTGTGTGTGTACATGTGCGTGTTGTGTGTACTTTCACATGTCAGTGTGGCAGGCTAGATCAGACAGAGATGGCAGATAAACACTAAGGACAGAGTGGACAGGACTTTGTATGTCAGCAGTCTCTTATTCTTTTTAAAGCTGAATGTAAGCATTATCTGTGAGATGTCACTCTGAATTATGGCTTTGAATGACTTTTCCTGTGCAGGCTGGCCATGTGGCCTACCCCAGCAATGTCACAGTGAAGTAACAGGGTTTGACCACATGACTCCCACATTCTGCAAGCATTGAGTCTCCACTACGTCCACGCATGGCTCCAGGCTTGGGACCTTCCCTGCCGTCAGGGACAGAGCAGAGACCTAAACAAGAAGTGGATCATGATCAGGCTCCTCCCTGGAAGCTGTCCCTGTTGGAGGTGACCCGAGGCCCTTGAGCAGGCGGTTGCTGCTTCTCTCATGTGGCCACACCAGCCTCTAGAGACAGCTGAAGCAGAGGTGGTTCTTCCTTCTGGACAGCGAGGGAAGATGAGTGCCCCCCTGAGACCAAGGAAGGGGGAGCCCCCACTGGGCTTCACAGACCCTGCCAACCACACGGCCCAGGTGACCACCACCAGCCTCCCCTGGCGCTCCCTGCCCATCAATCGGTTCTCTGATGAGCACGGCCGACCCAGAGAACTATGAGTCACAGGCACGGCAAACCCAGGTCTTACTGGGACGGAAACTTATGTAATTACTTATTGGAAGGCGATGTTTCCTATGAATAAATATGATAACATGAGAAATATAACATTAGTCATGAAATAACATTCATATTTGAAAAAAATCACAACAAAGTATAAAAATTTAAAAACTGAAAAACATTGCAAATCCCACAAAATTTTAAAAATAGCACAAATACTCTTATTAACTGATTACCTGACACACCCCCATAATATTCCTGCTTCCCCATATTGTCTGCCTTCTTCAGTGCTCGCTCTGATGGTCTCTTCCACACAAGCCAGTTTGCAATGCAATTTCCTATAAAGAGTAAAGAAAGAATATTTGTTTAACTCTCTGGTGTGGCTCATGGAAATGTATGTTTTTGTTTGTTTGGGAAATGTTTTAGTTTAGACTAGTCTCACCTTAAAAACCCATTATTTCCCCAATCATGCAAATTCTAGGATTGTCCCATGTTCTCTTGAGTCTCTTCAAGACTTGGAAGATCTGTAGATTTGGAAGATGTTCAAGAATTTTCCATGGATGAGCTTCTACTCCACTCATTTCCAATCTTACAATATTGTCCTCCCTGCCCTGCTCCAGAGCAGGGTGACATGAACCACAGTAATGTTTTGACATGTCCTCTGCCCCACATATTCATGTCCAAACACTGGACAAACCTGCAGAGTCAGCAACATGTGTACCTGGGAAGCCACCCCCCCAGGGCCACCTGTAACTCTACTGTGTGCACAGTAGTGTCAGGCCTCTGTAGCTGCCTCCTAACAAATCAGAGTTAAATGTATCTCTCAATTAACCATCCTGGGTCAGTTCTCCAAAGTGATCACAGACACCTCAGTGTCACCCCACAGGAAAGCAGATGTGACCAGGGGAAAGTGAGAAGAGATGGAGAACTCAAGTAGCTTCAGGTGAAACATTTGGCTTTTGCTAATTGTGCAAAAACACACATCCTGTGCATTTCTGCATGAAGTCCCAGACCAGTCATGAGTGCAACCTTCTGTGCATAGTGTGGGTGCAATTACGTGTCGATAGCATCGTGCATTCCTTAGGTTGACCTTAGAATGAAGATATGAACATATACATGCAGAAATGATGACGGGACCCACCAGTCAACCCAAAGCTGCCCGCCATGAGGGGGCAAGTGAGCGCACAGCTAGGATGAGGCTCCTTCCTGATGTTCTTTTGGGTTTTCCTCAGACCCGGCCAGCATGGTCTAGGATGAACCAATGAAATGAGCCACCATTGTTGTCCCAGTGGGTCCACCACCACTTCATGGAACAGTGATAGACAAGCAGGAAAGACTCCTCAGTCAGCAGCGGAGTCTGAAGTGATGGACAGCACAGTCTAAATTCAGGCACCTTTCCTACTTAGGCCTGAGTACATTAACAGGGCAATATACTTCCTAAATCTCACACACTTCTTGGTGAACTCTAGTTATTAAGAGGAAAAATCCAAGGATCTGGAAGTTCTGATTGGGAGAGTTTTCGTGTTGTCCTATGGTCAGCTGGCCAGGTGCACTGAATGAGGGAGAAGGGTGGGGAAATTCCAGATGAGGAATATTGGAAATGGAGACCAAGACACTGGCATTAAAAATACATGCACCCTTAGTTAAAGTCAAAGCATTTATGAGCAAAGCTCCTAATAAAACCCCTAGAGTGGATTTCCTGGGACATCACTGGCTATCCTGGGAGAAACGTGGACACTCTGTTGAGATGCCATGTATGGAAGTTATGGAGTTTCATTGCTGGGGGGCACTTCAAGAGGTTAAAGAGATCCTACCCAGGCATAGTGGGGCATGCCTGTAATCCCAGTGGCTCAGGAGGCTGAGGCAGGAGACCTGCAAGTTCAAGGTCAGCCTCAGCAATTTAGCAAGGTCCTAAGCAACCTAGAGAGACCCTTTCTAAAAGTAAAAATTCAAAAGATCTGGGGATGTAGCTTCTGGATTTAATCCCTTGTACAGGGGTGGGGTGGGAGAGAAGATATCAGTGGTCTCCAGGGTTCTTAGTTATTCCCTCCTCCTGGTGTGTTCTCTTTCCAAGTTTCTTAAACTGGCTTCTGATTATTATTCCAATTTCTGCTAATATGTCTGTAGCCTGGAGGAGCTTTCCTGCCAATCTCCTTACAACAGCCACTCCCAAGCATTTCTGCACTCAATTGCCCATTTTCTTTAGCCTAATGCAATCACACCTAGCCTGAAAGGTGTCAGGTAAAGCTCTGTACAAGCATTTTTGTCTTTCTTCTGGAAAGCAATAACCCTGCCTGCTCCTGTATTCCTGCTGCCTGGGAAAGAGCCCAGAACACTTAGAACGTGCCTCTGGGTCTTTGGTTGAAGGTTACACTCCAGGGGCTGGAGCCCAGAAATGTTAATTGTCTCAACCTGGCCAGAGAGACATCTGGGAGCAGAACCAGGAGGCAAAGGTGTGACCCTTCATGGTTTGGGTTCTCACTGCTTGGTAATCACTTGAATGTCAATGATGTGAAGACAGAGAAATACCAAAAAATACAAACGGTTTTCCTAGTGCTACATCTTGCCACCCAGGAAGAAATGAACACGGAATATTTTCTGAAGCACACGCATTTTACCTCCACAGAGAGTGTCTGGGAACTTTCCTCTCCCACAAATGACATTAGCAATTTAGAAAATGATTTAAAAGAAGAGGGCATTTCATAATATTGCCAATAACAGTTAGCAAATCTCATTAATGAGATACTCTGATGTGGAAATCACTGCAATGCTATTTTGTAGCAAAACACTGTAATTTAGCCATTGTGTGTCTGTGTTATTTAGCAAATGAATAATTACACTATGCCCTTGAGACTTAGTGCTACTTTGGAGCATTGGGGTTAATCTCTTTGGTGTCTTGTCTCGAACACACTTTAATGGGCAATATATTCTGAGCCATGTTCAAAGCCAATCGACTACATTATACAAAGAGATATTACAGCAACAGAAAAAAAGATCGAGTGTGCCGCAGGCCATAAAACACTGAAACACACTCAAACCACACTTAAGTGTGAAAAATAGCTTTAAATTCAGCAGTGGCCGCTGAACATCTTGTACATGCCAGGTTTGTACCACACACCAGGAAGAGAAGGATGACAGGGTTCCTAGTGCTGATGGGTCTTTTTTTTTCTGGCTAAAAGCATTTACAGAGAAGTCACAAAATCAACCTTAATGACAATGTCCCCTTCTATACCAAGTCTAACTTCTGCTGTCTCTTGCCCAACTCCGAATGGTTTTGCCAAGGAGACACTTGACATTATGGACTCAGTCAGAAAAATAAAATGAGGCAAACTTCCTATAATTCTTGCAGCTGCCCCAGTCCTCTCAGTATTCTCTAAGCCAGCCTCAAAGACTGGAGGTCAGCAGACAGCTGCTAGTGGTAAATCCCCTTTGCTGCTTCACCTCATGGTCATGTTTAAGCAAGATGTTAATCATGGAGCTGCATGAGGTCCAGCTGGCCTCAGGTAGGCACAAGACGGACAGAAGGAGGTTGGCAAGGGACAGAGGGTGAGTGCCCTGAAAGATGGACAACATAGGGACCCTAACAAAACCTGCAATCTCTGACTCAGTCTTTCCTCCACCTCTGCGGGGAGTTCAGGGATCTGGGGGTAATCAGGTGAAATGTGAAACCAAGAGGGGACAGTAGCTCACACAAGCTTCATTTGTGAAATGCTTACCCAGGTTTCCATGCACGGATCTTTCCCAGTGTGAGAAATTCCAGAGGTTCTGGCACAGGGGCCTCCACCCAGAAGCAGGGGAAGTCCAGGGAACTCCTGTAGTATGTGGACTCGCCTGCCCAGGTGACATCCCAGCAGCAAGGGGGAATCTCCGAGTCTGGGAGGACTGAAGCCACTGCGGTCTTTGAGGGCTAGAAATGGTGCATCTGTGATGAGCTGAGCTGGGCACAGTTTTCATCATTCACAAAAGCAAGAAGGTCCTTCATGATGAAGAATGTGCTGTTGAAGTTATATTGAAAATGATTAGACATTTTGAAATTTGAGTTTGGCACCAGCAGGGTTTTATGCTGGTCTCAGCCAGCTGTGCAGTAAACAGAGGCTGGTACCCGGGGGCCACTCTTTGGCTCATTGATGCTACAATCTCCTAAACCAAATGTTTGTGGATTTTCATCATCTCATCTATTTTGCCTTGTGTCTAAATAGCCTGGAAAAAAATGAAATTAAAGCCACCATATGAAAGAGATGGTAGTGGCATCATCCGCTTGGTGGCTCTTATGAATTGCCTCCAATAACCTACCAGGGTAGGTGGGCCTTGCTCTCTTGAGCCCTCTCTGCCAGTAAAAGAGGAGGAAGCAAAACCAAATGCCTGCCAACCCCGGTGGTCTGCAAGCACGTGTCCCCATGGCCCCGTGCACACCAAGCCAGGCTGGGCTCCCAGCATAGAGGACTCCAGCTGCCATGCGGTAGGGAGTGTCTCTCCCTCTCTATAACCTTTCTGGAGGCAGGACAACAAAGGTCAACCTAGGACACTGCTGGACAGTGGACCAGTGAGTGTCTGACCATAGCCACTGCTCATTTTCACAAGCTTGAAGCAGTTTGTCATTTTTTCTCCCAAAACCTTTCCCCTTGGCAGAAGCATCGTGTTTCTAAGATGGAGCGAGGCAGGGAACACAGCCACAGCCTGCGAGAAAGCTCCTGTGGTCCTGAGCATTGCTCCCTGTTTGACTTAGTCTCCCAGTGCAGGTGAGTTTGCATTCCTTGCTGAGTGTCCCAGAGTGTCACCTCTCTGAGACGCAACCCATGCTTTGTGTTCTATCTTCTCAAAAACTGCAATTCCTCCTGTTAGATTGACTGTGCAAGCACCAGGTGAAAACTAGGGCTCTCTCCAGCAGCTTCTCTCCAATGATATCACCTTGCAAACTTCAGAAAATATGCTAAGTTCATAGAAGCTCGCTGCAGCTCATAGAATGGAGCTAGCTCTGACACACAGCTCAAGACTCCAGAGCGCACAGTGGGGAAAGCATCTGCTGTCAGGATTCCCTGGAAACATGATTTAAACCAAGCGTGGTCAAGGAGAAGTCCTTGAGTTGAGGACAGTTGCAAGTAGCTGCTGATTTATAGATCTAGCCCTGCGGTATGAAAACCCCAGCTGCACTCAAGCCATGATCCCCACCTACCTCCAATCCAGAGAGAGTCCACAAAATAGGTTAGTTAAAAAAAGAAAAAGAAAAGATGGCAGAGGAGGAAGAGGAGGGGAGGAGGAAGCTAGAAGAGCACAGCTTTGGTTGCAAGTGAGAATCTGGGCGTTGGTGGTGACCCTCCTCAGTCCAGGGCTTCAATCTTAAGTGACACAGACAATCTTACAGCCTCAGACTCTTATACCCCAACCACAGGATAAAAACCTACATGTCCCCTTTCCACCAAGGACCAAAAACTACCTTTGAAAAGGTAACCGCAGGTTGGACAGGGTGACCCCAGACACGAGGGCACCTGGGGAGAGGGACACTGTCACTTCATGTCATAGGCTCAGAATCTCTGCATTAACACAAGACCTTTTGCTCTCCAGGACCTTGTGCAGCCTTGGTCTGTGGCTCTCCTTCTCCTCAGGTCCCACAGCAAGGCGGGGTCTTGCTTTCTTCCTCCTGAGTGGCAGCCGGGTCCTGCAGGTGGTGGATGCTACAGCAGGACAGTGCTTGTCTGCTGTGGATTCCCGGAACCAGGGTCTTGAGTTGCACTTCCTGCACAACTGGAGATAGACAGAAAGTGATTGACACAGAAATGAACACCACGAGACGAGGGAGAACATCTGTCAAGATGCAACAGACCCGGGGGCTAAGTTCCATCTCTACACTGTTGACCTCTGCAGTCCTGACCACCACCTGAACCTGGAGATCTGCGTCCAGCTGCCTAACGTTTTCGATTGGACAGATGCTTCTTCAGCCCCTCAAACTATAATCACCCCAAATTGAACTCTTGGCCTTCTTTCCTATACTGGCTGCTGTGCACTCTCTTCCCTCTGAATGTGCCCCCTTCCTTGGGCCACTCTGGTAGAGCCCAAGGAGACCTTGCTGAAGCTCTCTCCCTCCCACCCACCTGGGCTGTCAGTGGTCCTGTGTGTTCAGCTGCATTCTGACCACTCCTCTCACCCAACCTGCCAGCACTGTGTCCAGGCAGCTTGACTAAACCAATCTGGTGTAAAGAGGAGTCTAATGATCACCAGGTTGGCAGACCTTTGACAGAGGGTCCAACTTCTTCTGGTTCCAGTTCTGTCTGCTCACAGGCGCTAATGGAGCTTGATCCTGTGTCGGAAATGAAATCTGTACCCTGCAGGAAAGGGCGTGTCTTTACTGATATCAGACCAGGATGGGGAGAGAAAATGAACCATCCATGCTCTTGTTTCAGTGAGGACTGGTGGCAGGATGTGAAGTCGGAAAGAACATTTGTGTCAGAGATGGGCTTCACCCTATGGCATTTAACCAGGAGGTCTGGGGAGCTGGTGGAAATCCACACCCGGTTGGACTTGGGGCTGGTTTCTATTTGAAGCTATCGGCTTCTCTTTCTGCAGAAACAAAGATGCTGCAGGAAGAGTCCCCGGTCCATTTGTGCTGAGCGCTTGCCTTTACCTGGGCCAGCTGTGCGGCCATGCTGCTCAGGAAAGCTCAAGGCAGGTTCAAAGCCCAGCTGAGCTGCTCAGCTTCCAGAGCCTCAGCCTCCACTTCCCTAGGCAGAGCTAGTACTGCTGCCCACTTCACTTGGGTTTTGTGTTTGTCCTGATTTTGTTTTGTTTTGGAGAATAAAAGGGATCACATAGCGCAGCAGTCAGCAGGCAGTCAGATGCTGACAGGCTCCAGCCAGCCTGAGGCCTGGGGGGGCCGATTTTGCTGCAGCCGCTGGGCCTGGGGTTTGCCTCTTGTCTCAATCTGCTCTCACCCTGCAGCACCAGGGTAGGTAGTCACAGCAGATGGCATCTGGCCAGCAGAGCTTCAAATATTTCCTCTCTGGCCTTTTATGGAGAACCCCTGCCAACCCCTGATGTCTGGCCTAGGGCACGCCCCACGCAGTGCTCAGCAAGCGTGAAGGTGAGTAGTATCTGCACCTGATTCCACCTGAAGTCTGCACCCACCCTGGTGAGCAACTGAATGGGCCCCCTCTTCAGGGCCACCCTCCACACAAGCACTAAACTCAGAAAGATATCCCCACATCAACCACTGCCAACCCTTACCTCCCCTGTGTCAAATTTTGGGTAAAAAGCCTTCTGAAAGGCTAGTCCCTATTACATCATTGGTATTTCAATAAGAACAACTTGTGATATCACCCTTCTCAGAGGAACAAAACAAAAAAAGGGCAGTCATGGGGAAATACTATCTAAACAGGGAGCCACTGGGATGTAGGGGAAGAGGAATCTTAAGATTCATCTGGAAATAGCAGCAAAAAAAGGAGTAGTGTCCAGGCAACACTGTGTCCAGAAGCTGCAGTCAGGGGCTGGGAGGGCATCGGTCTGCCTGGTGCCAGCTGTGGGGTCCTGAGACAGCAATCACAGGGCTGCAACAGGCTTGAGAGCACGATATAAGACTAATTCTTAGACCACACAAGAACTTGTAATGAGAAGACTTTGCCAATGTTAAATAAAACAACTTAAGTACAAGTAAACCATCCTGTGGATCTAAGTTCATGACTGTATTCTTCAAAATAGTCTTTTGAGACCTGTACTCTTCTTCCACTGAGTCAACCCTACTCAATCAAGCATTTCTACACACCTTGTATCAGTCAGGATGGGCACTATTACATGGTAGTAACAAATATCCCCCAAAATCTTATGAATTACAGTAGAAGTTTATTTTCCTTGATATTAAATATCTTCTGTTGATTCTGAGTCACACAGGACCCCAGGATAATAAAATACTGAGACATGGTGCTGCTCAGGAAGTCCAAGCCCAGGAAGGGTTTGCCATTAGCAGCTGATGGAAGTGGTATGAGCTGCTCTGCTTTTAAGGTGCCAAGCAAGGCGATCAGTTCATGATTTAAGATGAGGAGAACAGGAAGTGTCTAGCCACTGCACCCATGCCTTCCCACAGTTCTCCTCAAAACTCATTCAAATACAGCTCATGGGCCATACAAGAGAGCAAGCCCAAAATGTAGCCTGCTGTCCCTCATCCAGTCTCCACAGACCTGCCTTTGAGACCTTTCTCCTGACCGCAGGGCTGTGGTCTGGATGTTTACACCCCACCCCTCATAGTGCTGGCGTATTTGCACCCTGGAGAGCTCCCTCCTCCCTTCCCACAGGAGGAAATAAGCTTTCAACTCATGCTGAATTTGCTGGCACCTTGACCTTGGACCTTGACCTTGGGCTTCCAGCCCCCAGAATGGTGAGGAATACATCCCTGTTGCTCTTGGGCCACTCAGTCTGTGGTGTGCTGGTACAGTAGCCCGAACGCACTAAGACACTCGGCATCACTAAAAACCAAAAAAGGAAAAGCAGAACCTTGCTTAGCATCAAGGATGGTCACGCCAGCCCAGAGCTGGCACCCAGGGACAGTGCTCATTGGGAGACCTAAAAGTCAGTCTCTAAAAGGTCAATATTGATAGAACTGTTCTGCAGGATAAGACAGAGAAGGGAAATGTCACCATTCAGTGGTCTGCTGCACTGTTCCTGCTCAGAGCTCCTCAAGGTTTTCCATAACCGTGGAGCAGAACAGAGCTGTTCAGGGATCTGGGGCCTGAGCAGGGGTGAGCAGCAGCTGCAGGTCAGGTAATCAGATGTGTCCCGGGGAACAGGCGGATATGGAAAAAACAGGAAGTATTTTGCCATCCCTCCTTCCAATGTCTCCAGTCATGAGGGTCCCAGCTGAACCCCGACAAGGCTTTTATTACACAAAAATCAAAAAGTTCTTCTAAAGCAATTGTGATAACAACAAAACCAAAGACAGGAAAGTATGGGAATGCTAGCAATCTTAATAAAGCAGAACAAAAGAGGCCAAAATCCAAGGACTTTGAATCTCATCAGAAATTAAATAAATATAAATAATGAAAGATTTTCTCTGCTTAGATTTCATCTGGGTAATTATGCCTGTCCCAGTATCCTAATTTTACTAACTCTTTTTTTTCTGTCATAGATTTTAAATCTCATCAGAAATTAAATGAAAGGAAATAATGAAAGAATCTCTCTGCTTAGATTTCACCCAGGTAATTATGCCTGCCTCTTAATTTTACTACCAGTGTTGTTGTTTTTTTTCTTGCATTGTTTAAATATTTAATTTCAGTGTGTCTCAAATCAGTCAATAATGCAATCCTATTCCATGCTCAGTTGCATAGATTATTTTCTGGATTAATGAATGTATACAAACAGAAATTGTCAAAGGAATGGTCTCAGATTTCCAAACATGACAGCACCCCAAGGGAGATCTGTTGTTACTTCTTTTAATTTTTTTTCATTAGAGCATTGTAGTTATACATAATAATTGGGTTAATTTTGACAAAGTCATACATGCATGGAATTTGATTTACTCCACTTCAGTTCTCCACGAAAATCTGGTTTTGATCTTAATTATATCTGGCATTGGGGTTAGGACCGGGAAGTGTGTGGTCTCTTTAAGAAATCTACTGATGGGTTTTACTTTCTTCTCCACCATAAAACAGCCCAAGTCCCTCTTTCTGTGGAGGACCACTGAGCTTTTCATTTCATTTCTATTCCAGTTTCTAGGTCAAGGCAGGCTGTGGTTTCTGGCCACAGGAGAAGATGCAGTTAATTTTCTCAAGGCACTGGTTCCCAGGGACACCAGTGTGAATCAGGCCAGAGCAGCCCCCCATCGCCCTGTCTGACAGCACAGGATCCCAGGACAGATCCAGGAGGTGGCTGCAGTGCTGGGTTGCGGGTCAGAACCCATCACCAACCTTTAGTCCCAGCCTCGGTGTCTGCAGGTCTGCTGTCTGCAGCAGGACGGAACCTGCACTGTGTGCATTTCTGCACACTGAGAGTTCACTGGGATATTTAAATCAAGAGTGTTTTTTTTTCTGTCTTTAACAGAACTCCAGTCTTTCCTTACAGAACTCTCTTTATTTTTATAAGCAGGAAGCTACTTTGAGAGCAGTCTTCATTTTGCACTAAGAGATGAGCAGAAAGCGCAGAGTTCCCTCCCGCATACAGAACACGCAACACACTTCCAAAGCACACACTGGCACTGTTCTGTACTAGAACTCGATTCCAGCCGAGGCTGGCAGATGGCGGAGAGGTGGACTTCTGTGAGTGCAGGGCTGGGCCAGACCCACTGTGGGGTTTGCAAGGAACACCCTCATCCTCTCAGCGTGCACACAGCTCACTCTGAGGGGAGCTGAACACACCCGAGACAAGCAGGGAGTGACTTCCTCACATTATGAAGTGCATGTATCAGGAATAGTGACCAGGCATTCAACATGACCCAAAAGAAAACAGAACATGCTTCCTACAGTCACATGAGTTCTGTAAGAGAGACCGAGCAGGAGAAGAAAGGAGGACACACCGGCTCTGCATTTACATAACTTGAGTTATGTAATGTTCCCCTCCTGAGCTTTTTATCCCTTCCAAAGAGATGGAGACACCTTTCATTTAAAGACATTGCAACTGGATCAGTCACATATTTCAGCAAAACGTACTTGTTGTACCAAGACCAGAAATATCACCATTTGCACCAGCCAGTATCTGGGGACTAGAGCCAGGAATCTTTCCCAAGCTCCTTCCTCTGCCACACTGCCAGGGCCCTGTTGGCCAAGCTAACTCACATCCCCCCAGCGTCCACAGCCCCCAGAGCCCCTCCCCACCCTTCATCCCAGTCCTTCATCAGGGGCCAAGGGCTGGCTACGGTGGGTTGTTAGGGAGGCCAGTGATTCAAGTCACTCCATGCAGACAGTGACAACCAGGACCCGTGCTGGACCTATCTGGGGAGAACAGCTTCTCCACATCAGCAGATGGACACTGGGAGCTGCTGGCCACCGTATTCCTCCAGGATGGAAGATCAACTGGAAGGAATCCAACCATGGACATTGGGGACAGGCTATGAGGGGACGGCTGGAGCCCACACCCCACACTCCTGGTGCCCGTCCACCCTGAACTCAACCTGTGTGAGGACCGCAGCTCCTTCTCTGCTTGGGCTTCGTTAGTATAATGCCCAACACCATAGATGGAACAGTGTCCACTGAGAAGCTCCCAGCCCCCAAGGGACATCTCCCATGGGACACAGCTCCCCATTACAGAGCCAGCAGAGAACCAACCAAACTCCAATCTCTGCCAGAGGTCAGGTTTGAAGAGCGTCATGGATATTGTTGGCTGCCCACTAAGGGCCACTCACCAGCCTCCTGTGGTAGAAGCAGAACTGGCCTCCAACACAGATGCCAATTATGCCAGATACCTGCCGCCCAGAGAAGATGTCAGTCAACTGCTCTCCTCCAGGACCTGAGTGAAAGACTGCCAGAGAATTGTGTGAGAGAATCTCGTCCATGGTTAAAATGGGAGACCTGAGGACAACATTCCCTCTTGTTGAGGGAGCTGGGCGAATTTGTGATGTCTGGAGGCCTGAAGCTATGTAGAGTTCATGAGGCAGCCAGCCTAAGGAATGCAGGTGACTAGAAAGACAAAGAGCCTGAGTGATGGTTTGATGTTTCCCCTCCAAAATCAGGAGTCGCCAACATGACAATATCAAGAGACAAAGCCTTTGAGAGGTGATAGGCCACCAGGGCACCTTCCTTGTGCATGA